TTCTGCATACTCTCAATGGCACAACAAAGAGATAATTTTGTGTCCCGGGTTGGGTAGGAGATGTCATATTTCACCGTCACCTGCTGAGCTCCTAATGACCCTTTTTAGGCCACTTTCTCATTTTTACTTTGAAATGTGCTTTTGAACATTTAACATGCATTTTAAAAAGTGCATTTTTACCACAGGCAAGAATAAAAAAGGGAATTTAAAAGCAAAACTCAAAAATGCAGTGTGGGCCTGCAGACAACTGTCCGGAGAAAGTTACCGGGAGCCCATTTACATTGCTTGCGGCAACTCAGCCATAAACAGAGGGGTCACGAGCGTCGGAGGTGTCTGCAATGTATGAACGGCACATATCTGTGACCGATCGAAAATTGTCCCCTTTTCTCCGGAGAACCGGAACAAGCCTTTCCCTTCAACCCAACAAAGAACGCAGTCGCCGGATTGATACTGCAAGGCCGTGGAGAGCACCAAAACCACCGAAAACGGTCACATTTAATGGGTACGATACACTGTGCACAAGGGCTTTGCAATGGTTGTACCCTGGGGTGGACCAATGAATATGGAATTCAGGATTCGGTTTGGCACCATTAGAAGAAGCAGAACGACCAAGGGGACTTGGGCATGCCAAGCCTTGTAGTTCAATTTCTAATTTGGTCTGTTGATAAGCTGCTGGTCCACCCTCGTGGTGACGGGTTGCTTTGTTTCTGGGGATTACTTGTGACTTTCTCTTTGGTTCTCACTGGTTCAAAAGTGTTTGAAATTGGCCAAAAATGGTCATGTGCATGGCCACCTCAAGATTGGGAATTACTTGGTGCCAGTAAACCTCAATTGCATGTGCAACAAGTGAGGAATTAGTCGATAAGGGGTCAGTTTTACATCACGCGGCTCGTACATTACTCTAACCCCTAAAAACGCTCATGCCAGGCTGAGACTTGAAGTTGCCCAAGCTGTTCCAAAGGCAATCTTATTTTTTTTTTTAACCAAGGTCCCTTTTGTAGCTTTTTTTTGCCTCAGAGTATTAAATTGCACAAAAAAATGATCAGCAAAATAATTTAAAAAGCCACAAAAAACAAACAAAATGGCTGTAACATGACACCGCCATCGTCTCCTCTGCCTCCCGCCTGGAGCACAGGCCCTCCGCTCGTGGGGCCGGACATTAAAGCAGTAAGTAAGAACGCAAAAAAAGAAAAAACAAGGCCACTGGTAAAAATCGGACCTAATGCAAAACAAATGGTTTTTCATGTGGAGGCGCTTGGCTCGGATTCATGGCCTGCATAGCTGAGCCTGCTCCATTCTTCATGAATCAACACTTATCAGGACCTCATTAGGAGGAGAGCTGAAGTTACACACAACTTTTTTTTTGGCTGGGGGAGGGGGGTTGGAAGTAAAAGAAAAACATCAGGGCAGATAAAACGGCAACATTCGTTATCTCCATAGTTGATAGGAGTAGAGAAACGAAGATGTCTGACGCCAAACTCAGCAGAGCACATATTTCACATGGCTGCGATGCCAGGATGGGATTTGCTCGGGAAGCCATATTAATCAGATCAGATCAATAAGGCAGCCAAGGACTGGAGAAGTGCCTCTGGCGGCAACCGCGGGAAAAGGTGGGGGGGGCGCACTTCAAAAAGCTATTCATCAATAAAAACAACAGAAAGGTGTGTTTTTCTTCTGGCTTTAGGCCTCATTTTTCCAATCTGCGGGGACTCCTTAGTCTCTTGACCGATGGTCACCAACTGGCCACTATTTTACGGGCCTGGCTGGTAAAAATGGGACTTGTTGCTAATATTATAAAAGGGAACTTTACCCACCAATTGAATTCCCCCCCCCAAAACAGTTACTTTTAAGGCATGCCAGTGTGTTTATTTCAGCTCTCAACCGAACGGTGGCGTTTAGCATCATGGCTGATCACCATGGCAACAGCAATCAAAACAGAGGCTAAGATTGGGCCTTCCTTGGCATAGGAGGTTGTAGTTCCACTTTAAAAAAGGAAAAAAGACTGTAAGACCAACATTTCCTTCCCTGAAAAAAAGGTGGCAACCCTGTCCTAACTACAGGAGCCACTCAGATTCTTCCTTTTCCCTCGCTCCTGCACTTGTGCGAGATCCGATTGGCTGTTCGGGCCAGTGGAGGACAATTCTTTCCTCAGACATAACAGGCTTAGGTGCCCGCAGGCCAGTCCTGGTTGCCAATAGCAACCATACATTCCCTTTTAAGCCATGTAAGCAGAAATTATTGGTTGCTATGGGCAACGAGGCCTGTTCTTTCCTCAGAAGGCCTGTGCTACTGTTTCATAGGGAGCTGGGCTACCAATAAAAAGTAAGCTTCTGGTTTTTATTCCCCACAAGCTGGTATCGGCAGTGTGATATCAGCAGTGCCTCCATCTTTTTGGAGTGGTGATACAAGGACCAAACAAGGACAGCTACCAGCACATGTGCTGATGACAAAAGTACAATAAACCAACACAAAACAAAAAAAGTATTTTTACAGCAGTTTCTAATATAGGCCTCAGCCGACCATGGTAACGCATGGCAACCGCTGAACGGCAGGTAATCGTTACTCAAGCAACACCCAGAAATCCTGCTATAATTTTGACTAAAAGCATTTGCAGATTTCAAAAAATTACCCCCACACACGCAATAACGACATTAAATCCCGAAAGCCAAGGCAACGCGAGGAGGAAAAGAAAAACAAAAAACGGCTCAGGCATGAAATAAGAGATATTGGCTTCAGCAGCCCGGGCCTCCAGATTAAGGCGTACCAGAGAGCCAGCTCTCCCCTTCAGGAGGTATTCAGAGACTGGCTCTGCCATTTCCTGCATCTCAATCCCCTCCTTTCTTCCCCTCCATCGGCAGCCCAGACAGAGATCTTATCATCCACGCAGAACTTTCAACCTAAACCCAGGGCGGTCCCTCGCTTGTTTCATGTGGGAGGAAGAAAAAAAAAACAAGCAGGGCTCGCTTTAAGAGTTATCAGAAGCTGACATCTTGAATAATCCGTGGAGGAACCCTTCAGGGCGGGATTAGAAAAGCTTCAAACGCTCGTGGAACTACAAGTCTCAGCTTGCGTAGGGATATGGCTGCGAGGTGCAGATCCATCTATGCGATCAGCTAAAAATTGAGTTTCAAAAAATATAACCATTTGCGTGAATTAAACATTTTGTTAATGGCATCTCCAGGGCTGGAGTCACCAATAGGCAGGGGTGGGCAACTCCGGCCCTCGTGCTGTGCTTTAACTACAAATCCCAGCATGCCTCTGCCTCTGGGAGTCATGCCTGTAACTGTCAGTCTTGCAATGCCTCATGGAAGTTGTAGTTCCACAACAGATGGAGGGTCGGAGTTGCCCACCCCTGCCAATAGGCATAGCAGGCTTTTGGCTACTATGACCCAATCTGTTCCCCGTCGCGCAACTATACGTCACAAGGGGGCAGGGAATGCCCCCGCGTAAACTGCCGCCACTGATTGGGTCAGGAAGAGGGGGTGGTGGTCACAGCTTTGAGCGGGGCTTGGGTGAACTGGGTTTGCACCAATCCCAGCCTCATCCCTACTCTTAAAACATAGGAACTTTGCCGTTGAGTATCATGATGAAGTGGGTGGTCGTAGACACAACTGGTGACCATTGTCACTGAAAGAGAAAGTGGGGGGAAATCCCAAATCTTAGCGTTGTCACCACAACTGGAGGTGACAGAGACCCTCCAATGGGGACACCTGTTCTAGTAACCGGCTAAAAGGGGAGTTCTTCTCGCTTTGGGAGATTTCCTCCAACTTCCTTTTGCCTCTGCAGGGCGGGAAGTGAAGGCAAATCTCCCCAATAAAGCATTTTAAGCCAAAATAAAACAGTTTGGGCAACCTCGCCACTCCAGCTGTGATGAAACTACGAATCCCGTCATCCCTCTGTCTGTGCCTGTGGCAGGTCAGTCTAGCAATGCCCCATGGGACTTGTAGTAGTACTACAACAGCTGAAGTGCCCAGGTTGCCCATTCCTGAGCTATTACTTCAACCCAAAACTAGAAAGCTGTAACCTAATGAAGCAATAATGGCCGCCCACAGGATAGCCCATCAAATATGGAGGCTCTTTGGCCATGCTGCTCCCACAATGCACTGCAGCCTGGTCCTTCTATAAAATGATATATTTTAGGCACTTTTTTTTCCCCCTTTTGCTTCCTCCTCGGCGCTGACATCTGGAACTGAAAATATATAGACTGCTGGGGCCTCCCGGCAAAATCCTTAATGAAGACTTGAGAAGAATTTACTGTTGATTTCTGTTTTTCATTTTTTTCCCCCCTCCTCCCTTCCTTTTACAGATGAGGGTCTGCTTGCCTATAACAGCCCAATTAAGTACTGTTCAGTCCAACTTTAACGACCTTCAGTTCTGTAGCACGATGGTATGTTTGCCTAGTAAACGTGCAAGACTTTTCTTTAAGCGTACCCGCAAAAATTCATTTAGGGCCGGCACTGAGTGTAGGAGGGACAGAGATATAGGGGGCCTCCTGCCCCGACACAAGCCAAGCAACAACAAAACCAGCCATTCAAATCTGGTAACCGCCGGCAACAGCACAAAAAACGCTACAAAAAGGTATAAAAGGAATAAAAACACAATTCTGCAACCGTCAACAAAATATTAGAAAAATAACCATTTCAAAAGGAACTGGAGCGAGATCTCACCTGAAAGCCCCTCAGGGGCCAAATAATTAGATCCCCCTGTCTCTGTAGAGGAAGGCACGAAGTCTGGACAATCTGCTGAAAAGGAAACAAAGAGTTTGTTAATTTGGAGGTCTTGTTCAATATTATTATTAATATACAGGATCTATATAGTGCTAGCAGTTTGCGCATTACTTTATAATAGAAGGAAGACATTACAGTTCCAAAACAAGCTTGTTAGGAGGGCCCAGCCGGTCTAGACAAGTGGCTGACTACTAACGTGCATAGATGTAACTTTTAACAAGCAGAAAAAAACTTTACTAGCCGAAATGACATGTCAATCTGTGCGGTCGGTTTTATGATCCAGGTCCCCCCTCTCCACAATGCATACCTGGTCTCTCAGACCTCAGCTACAGTAAAGCAGCACAGCTTGGTCCAGGACACAACCCTGGCCTGCTGAATGGGCAGTAAAAAGAAGTACCAGCGCACCGGAGGAGTACCAGCCCACCGGAGGAGTACCAGCGCACCGGAGGAGTACCAGCCCACCGGAGGAGTACCAGCCCACCGGAGGAGTACCAGCCCACCGGCGGAGTACCAGCGCACCGGAGGAGTACCAGCGCACCGGAGGAGTACCAGCGCACCGGAGGAGTTCCAGCGCACCGGAGCAGTATTCACTCTAGACTCAACCTTCTGCCTGCAGACAACCAGTGCTAGAATGACACACAGGCCGAATGGCTACTAGTCCTGGTTCTTTTCTAGCCAGTGCATGTGCATTGGAATAGGCAGTTAAATGAGTACAAGCACACTGAGTATTCACTCTGCACTCAACCTCCTGTCAGCAAGCTACCAGTGCTAGTGACAACACAGGCCGAATGGCTACTAGTCCTGGTTCTTCTCTAGCCAGTCTGCTGGGCATGGAATCGCACATTTGGTTGCACACACTGGATTTATTTAAAGTGTATGTAAAACTTTGGAAAAAGCAGGGAATGGTTAAGACTTCTGTCACGCTGTGTCCTATTGGGGTATCTCCTCTTAGGCAGTTGTCACCAGAGTTGGTGTCCACATTCGATTTCCGTACATTTCTTGTTCCTGTTCTTTACTTATTCCAGTGACAACTCAAACATTTTGGATTTCTCATCACTTCCTGTACCGGACAATGAGGTTAACTCCCCCCCAGTGGGGTCACAGACAGACGTTCCAACCTTTCTCTGCTCCATCCACTGAATTGAGCTTTTTAAATGTTATGAAAGCACATTCTCAGGCTGTTTTTTTGGATTACTTCGTGGGACGGACTGAATGGCTCCTGAATTCTACAACCCCCTCGACTTTCTTGCGCGACCGCATTTGTAAAGCGATGGTGAATCATGGGAATTGTAAATGATGACAAGTAATATGAAAAATTAATTTTAGGACATTCCCCAGCAATCACGTGTCACAACCCGGCGTATCCGGGGCCAACGTTCCCTCGATATCCACAAAAAGAAGGGAGATTTTTTTTTTTTTTTTTAAATTGCACAAAATGATTAAAAAGAAAATGACGGTTTAGGAATCTCTGTTTTCATGGAAACATGAAACAGAACACAGCTAATGAATCCTGGAGAAGCAGCAATAGAAACAAAATGTTGCAATGTCTTTTCTGCATTAATGAGACCCGGAGCACAAAAAAAAAAAAACAAACCTACACACAAAGGCCAGGAGCCCCGGGGGCCACTAGCTGGAGGCTGATTTTTTATATATTTAAAGGGGATATAACTGCAGAGAAAGGATTTGAACTATGAATGGGGGGGGAGGGGGGGGGGAATTATTAAAGCTGAACACTGGGCACAAAAAAGTTCTATTGAGCCTATTCCTCATATATAAATCCACTTTGTGCACCAAACACAGTTATTACCTTCCAAAAGTAGCAGTGACATCATCACTGTGCTGCGCATAGCCTGTGCAGGGAGCAGAGCTGTGGGAGGGGGCCCAGCAGGCTCCACCCACTATAGGATGGGGTGGAGACAAGACCAGTCATCCTGTACAAGGAGAGAGAGCAAAGCTGTGGGAGTGGCCGACTACAGACTTCCTGCAGAAAAATGCAGGAGGGGGCAGAGACAAGTCCAGTCACCCTGCTCAAGGACAGAGAGCAAAGCTGTGGGAGGGGCTCACTGCAGAAAACTACAGGAGGGGGTGGAGACAAAACCAGCACAAGGAGAGGGAGCCGCAGTGACCGGTCTTTATTACAGGAGGGGGCGCAGACAAGGCCAGTCACCCTGCACAAGAAGAGAGAGGAGCAATGAACGGTCTTTATGTCAGGAGGGGGTGGAGACAAGAACCAGTCACCTTGCACCAGCAGTGAGAACAGCAGTGACCGGTCTTTATTAAAGGAAGTTCCAACACAAAGGCAAATTGTCACGTGGGATTAAGAAGACTCAAGTAAGAATACGCATGGCTCTTGTATTTAGACACCACATTTGGCTGAAAAAGGGAAGACTTACTCCTCTTGCTGCATATTCTGGCAGGGTGTGACCTTACTCATAACAGCCACATAAAGTGGGTGGAGTCCTGACCTCAATTGCCAATATCTTGACCTACTGATCCCAAGACCGGTCAGTAACTCAACCTATCGTCACACAACCTAAACTGGACCATCACTTTTGGTTGGTCTGCAAAAAATTGGACATGATGGGAGTTGTGCTGCGTGTGGAATAAGTCGATGTCCCAAGATGAAGACACAATTTGGCAACAGGAAAAAAAAAAAAACCAGCCCATTCAAGTCCACTAAACGTTTAATTGGGGCAAAGTATGAGCCATAACAGGAATATACAGTTTAACAGGAAGCACTCAATCAAACTTCAAACAATAGAGGAGACAGGAAGAGGAGATACTCGCGGAACGGTGCGCTGCGCACTTTCTCAACGTCTAAGATTTTTTTTTTCATTTCCCTAAATATCCTAAAAGGAAATAGTTTCTTCTTCACCCCTTCCTTACCGCTCGGGTTAATTGTGCAAGAAAGCCGTACGGCATTACAGGAGGATGACTAAATGGCAAGACTGTGCCAGTGCCAACATCCAGTACGACGCGCTTCCAGCCCCGGAGCGCGATGCACACCGTGGACGCAAATCGCTGCACTCCCGCGTATGACGGCAGCGACGCCTCAGGTTATGCAGGAACTTGGCAGGGAGACAACAGAGAAGAAAAAAAAGAAGGGACATTTTATTTTGTCGTCTCAGGAAATAACTGAGGCTGCCTTGCTTTCAGCCTTGACAGAGAAGGACCCACAAACTTCTGACTCCTCCTCCTGCGAGCGAGGTGCTGTCAGCCATTTTTAAATGCCTCAGGAATAAATACTCAAGGCTGGCACGGAATTAGGTTGCAGACAAATATATACACACACACACCTCTGTGCCACAGGGGAAACCTTGCCACTCCAGCTGTGGCAAAACGACAAATCCCATCATGCCTTTGCCTCTGGGAGTCATGCCTGTGGCTGTCGTCTTGCAAAGCCTCACGGGACTTGTAGTTCCACAACAGCTGGAGTGCCCCCCCCCAAAAAAAAACCCGTTGATGTGCCAACAGCGAGCGCCTAACTTCTTGCTGCCTCTGCTGAACTGCAGTCCCGAGCAGTGTTGTCAGCCCTGTCTGAACACCTCCCTTTCATTGTTATGGGGATGGGAAGAGGAAGGTGTGTTCTGTAGTCCAGGAGGGGAAATCTCAGACAGGGCTGACAGCGCTGCTTTGGGATTTCAGCACAGCAGAAGCACAGCTCACATAAAGTCAGGAGCTCACTGGATTTCTGGAAGGCTCAATAGGCATTCATAATGGGATTAAACACGGGGACATGTGCATGGATTGCAGAGATATACTCATTATTTTTATATTTTGCCCAGACATTTAACAACTCCACCAACTTCAAACAGCTCAGCTCACACCCTGCGACATCCCCGTCATTAAAGGAAAGCTTTACCCTTATGATTCACACTGGATACACAGAGAGATCTGAGCCATCAATATGAACATTCCATGGAAGGCTAGCAGTAAGGGGAGGGGTCAAAGGACTAACTTTTAGGGGCAGAAGAGCCACAAGGCATTTCACAAATGGGTACAGTCTGTCACAGATAGGCAAGCAAGCCCCCCATCCATGTAACCCCCCCCCCCCGCCAAAAAACATAATTTTGTTTTTGTGCCCCCAACTCCACTACATCACAGTACATACATCAAGATACGAACTTCATGGGAGCCCATCAACCCCAACTCGCCAAGGACACGCAATGGCCACACATGGAGCCTAATTGTAAGACTCCTGACTCATGTCCAACTATTAGAAACATGGCGATGATGGTGGTGGTGGTGATGGGGGCACGGATATTGATTATTGGCAAAAGGAAACTTTCCGATATTCAAATCAATTGCTCGCTGATCATACCATTCAGGAACGTGGGCAGTTGTGATTCATAAGTCTCATGGCCCTTCGGTAGAATGCGCAAATTTGCATTCGATTCCAGCGAATTGAACATTTGCATTCTATACGAGTCACTGCACTCACTGCGACCCATACATGAGATTACGCAATCACCGATAACAGCTTCCACATTCAGCAGGGGTGAGCAACTCCGGCTCTCCAGATGTTGTGGAACTACAAGTCCCATGAGGCATTGCAAGGCTACAAGTTACAGGCATGACGGGATTTGTAGTTGAAGCACAGCTGGAGGGCTGGAGTTGCCCGCCCCTGACATACACCAATATACAATAGCAGCCACTTTACGCCTTGTGCCAACCCCATTTTCCCTAGTTTTGGTGAATGGGAAAAATGGCTGCCACCATGCCACAGCCAACCGGAAGTCTATTACTGTATCAGCTCACCATCCATTTTCCCCACAACAGATGTCACTGCTTTTTAGCATTGGCGACACATCAGCGTGCGTTTTGTGACCTTTCGCGGCCCTATAACTAATAACCTGGCCCATCCAGCGAGCCAATTTTTTTGTTTCTTTATCATTAAGAACAAGGAGGGCGACCGCGCTTCCCTTCTTGTTAAACTGGTTATGACTTCACAGTGTTCCATTACAGAACTGCGTTCCTGTTTCTCACCTAGAAACGCAAAATAAACAGAGGGTACA